AGAAATTTACTTCTTCAGATTTTCGTAGGCCAAGAAACTACTTCTCTTCACTGGGATTCAGAAACCAGGAATAAACATAAATCCTTCCCAGGATGCCTATAGCATAATGGACCCTGGACTTGTCAGCACAGGGTTTAAGAAGTGTGTTCTTCTACCATGACAGAACAATGGGATAAACACTCAAGAGTGTGTCTTCAGAGGCCTACGGATCAACCTAGACATCACACAACTCATTAATTCATGCTTCCAATATTTGTTGAATTCCTACAGTGCTTTAAGCCCTGGCGTAGAAGGTACAATAAAGTACTAGAGAAATAATTTTGAAAAACATAGGGTTTTGCTCTCACACAACTCTTTAGGGAGACAGCAAAGAACAAGTAAATATACAGGTAATTTCAGTTGGACACAAATCCCCTCAAGCTGCTATGAGCCAGAGTGTACAAATATTCACAGTAGAGAGGCCCAGCTGAGGGGTAGATGGGGGTCTGTGCAAAGTTACCATATACCCAAGAATGACCCCGAGCCTCACAAACAGAACTGATCTGACCATTTCAGATAAACCATCAGGGAAGGCCTGGGCAGTGAAGTCCAGACGATGAGCCTGACTGTGGGGAGAGTCTTTAGGGCAGAAAACACTTGGCTCTGGGGAAGAAACATACTGGGCAGTTTTGAGGATGAGAATGGAAAAGTCTACTAAAAAAGGGGGGGTTCACAAACAGGAGGTGTCTACATGGTTGATTAAGGGGAGCAGGACACGGCAGGGGAGGATATCTTAGTTAAGGTTCCTGGTACTATAATAAAACACCATGACTGTAAGCAACTTGGAAAAGAAAGGGTTTATTTCATGCTTACCATCACCCCCAAGAAACCAGGGAACAACTCAGGGCGGGAACCTGGAGGCAGGAGCTGATGCAGAGAGGAATGCCGCTTATCGGCTTGCTCCTCATGGCTTGCTCAGCCTGCTTTCTTCTATACCCTCAAGACTACCTTGGTGGCATCCCAGGGACAGACTTGTACGAACAGCCAGGTAACTTTTGACAAGGATGCTGGGGCCACTTAGCGACAAGAGGACCATTTTTAATAGATGATTGGAAAATTGAATATCCACATGCTGGAGCTGTACCTTGCTTCGCACTGTCTACAACATCAACTCAAGTGCATCAAAAAGCTAAATGTGAAGCCAGGCGGTGGTGGCGCACACCTTTAATCCCAGCACTCGGGAGGCAGAGGCAGGTGGATCTTTGTGAGTTCGAGGCCAGCCTGGTCTACAGAGTGAGATCCAGGAAAGGCACAAAGCTACACAGAGAAACCCTGTCTTGAAAAACCAAAAAAAAAAAAAAAAAAGCTAAATGTGAGACCTAAACATATAAAACCCTCCGAAGGACAGAGTCTACACACTGGATTTGGAAATGATGTCTCAGATATGATACCAAAGGCTCAGGAAATAAAAGAGAAAAATGGATAAACAGGACATCAAACTTAAGAACTTCTGCACATAAAAAGACATTATCAAGAGAATCAAAGGATAATTTATAGCTGTGTAGTGGTACACACCTGTAGTCACAGAAGTCAGGAGGCTGAGGCAGGAGGGCTGCCGTGAGTTTAAGGACAGCCTGGGTTAATTAAAACAACCCTGTCTCATAAAACAGAAAGAAAGAGAGAAAGAAAGAAAGAGAGGGGGAGGGAGGGAGGGAGGGAGGGAGGGAGGGAGGGAGGAAGGGAGGAAGGAAGGAAGGAAGGAAGGAAGGAAGGAAGGAAGGAAGGAAGGGAGGGAGGGAGGGAGGGAGGGAGGGAGGAAGGAAGGAAGGAAGGGAAAAGAGAAGACAGCATGTAGAACATAGAACAGAATAAAGTGTATCTGAAAAAGTGATGGACACCCAGAGGACAGAAAATTCTAACAAAACAAAAAAGGCAAAAAACCAAATTGACATAGACATTTCTCAGAAGATGTCCCAACAATGGTCAACACTGACATTAGGAGACACTCCTCACTAATCACTCGGAACGTGCAAATCTCAGCCACATAATGAGATGGCTGCTATTCAGAAAATAACAAGTGTCGGTAAAGAAACTAGAACACTTTGTCACTGCAATGAGAATGCAGCATTTCTGAAACAGTAGGATTATTCTTCAAATCTGAAATAGAACTACCATATGTGCTGCCTAGATTTATATCAACTTGATGTAAACTAGAGACATGTGAGAGGAGGGAACCTCAACCGAGAGAATGCCTTCATAAGATCTGGCTGTAGTCAAGTCTGTAAGGCAATTTCCTAATTAGTGTTTGATGGGGGAAGGCCCAGCCCATGGTGGGTGGTGCCATCCCTGAGCTGGTTGTCCTGGGTTCTATAAAAAAGCAGACTGAACAAGCCATGAGGAGCAAGCCGGTAAGCAGTACCCCTCCATGGCCTCTGCATCAGCTCCTGCCTCCAGGTTCCTGCCCTGCTCGAGATCCTGTCCTGACTTCCTTCAATGATGAACACAGATATATGGAAGTGTAAGTCAAGTAAACCCTTTCCTCCCCAACTTGCTTTATGGTAATGGTGTTTCATCATAGCAATGGAAACCCTAAGACACCATATGACCCAGAAATTCCACTTCTGGGTGTACATTCCCCCAAAAGTAAAAACCAGGACTCAAAAAGATATTTTCACACCCATCATTTACAGTGGTTAAGATGGAAAAGCAACTGGTGTCCATCTGTGATTGAATCAGTAAGAAAAATGTGATTAATACATGCAACAGAACATTGCTTTGCCTTAAAATGGGAAAAAAATTGTCTATACTACAACATGAACAGGCCTCGGTTGACCAAGTGAAATAGGCTATCATAAAAGGCAACCCTGCACGATGCCATCCATCTGAAGTACTTGGAGTAGTCAGATCCAGACAAAGTAAAATGTGGGCTGCCAGTCATTAGGAGAAAAAAGACAGGCGGAGCTATTGCTAATGAATACAGAATTTCAGTGTTACCGAATAAAGAGTTCTGGAGATGGGTGGTGATGGTGGCTCATCCACATAATGGATATGCTTGAGATCACGGAGCTCGACCTTCAAAGGTGGCTAAGATGCTAAACATCATGTTGTCTATACGTATATCTTCACTACAATAAAAGGAAATGGAAAAGAAGTCCATTGATTTCTCACTCCGTGCTTCTCCAACAGTCTGGGCAAGGGCGTCTAAAGCAGAGCTTCTGAGGAAGATGAGGGAGATGTGGTCCTGGCAGCAGAGGCAGGACTTGCTTCTGTCAGGTGGCTCTTGCAGCCCAGGGCGGAGCGAGCCTCTGAGAGGCTGCTTCCCACTTGTTTGTTGAACAGAGCTTTGCTAGCGGAAGATGGTGGAGGAGTTGGGCACAAAAAGGCACAGCTTGGTTTGGCTATGACCAGCAGGGCTGGCAAGATTGGTATCACTTGCAGGGTGCTTAGTCCCATGGGTGCTGTCCCATTCCTGCCAGATTAGAACGTGCATTTAAGTGAGACCCCGCCCCCAGTGGGGTATATGCACTTCAAAGTTCGAGAAGCACTCCCCCATGAACTAATGAATTAGAAATTAGTCTCCACGCAAACATCTATGCCCACTGCTAAGAAAATCCCTATGGCAATCAGGCTTTCCTCTCCATACCTAATACATTCATCCAATGCACAGTGAGCCGGCAGCTGAGTCATTTGCGAGCCTTGCAAAAGAGCAGGATGTCACAAGATTGACAGACGTGATATCACAGAACTACTCAAATCACACAGGCTGTATTGACAGGAGAGAAGCTGGCTAACTTAGACCTGTTATCCAGTGAGGGGCCTAATCTAGAGGCACAGGGGCATCCTTCAACAGAGAACAATTTGAATATCAACGGATCTAGACAAGCCCTCGGTGAAACAGAAGAGACTCACAAAGATCCTTGTAAAAATTACCCACTTTATGATCCCATTGTGGAACTTACAGTTTCATCGAGAAAAAAAAAACTATGCAAAAATTGCAACACTATGTCCAATCATTAATTATTCCGAGAAGAAGCACATTGAAAAATTACTATTTTCCTGGTATCATAGAACATAAGTATTTTTGTTATAAGCTGTAGTCTTGCTTCCATTTTATTCTATTTTTAATTATTTTATTATTTTGTGTGTATGACTATTTTGCCTTCATGTATGTCTGTGCACCACGTGAGTGCAGGGCTGGTGTTACAGATGGTTGTGAGCTGCCATGTGGATGCTGGGAATTGAACCTGGGTCCTTTGGAAGATCAGCAAGTGCCATTAACCACTGAGCCATCGTTCCACCTGCAGTTCTGTTTTTAAAGATGAGATATCACTGAGCTTCTTGTTAAGGTTTCCCATGCTGTCTGGACCTTGTTTGAAAACAGCCATACAAAGTGGATTCTGCCTGGGCCAGATTTCTTTCAATAATCCTAGCTGAAAAGGATTCTAACCATTGCATTATTTTTCCCTTATGGAGCCTATCATCATCATCATCATCATCACCATCACCATCATCATTATCATTACCATCATCATCATTATCATCATCATCATCATCAACATCATCACCAACATCACATCATCATCATCATCATCATCACCATCACCATCATCATTATCATTACCATCATCATCATTATCATCATCATCACCATCAACATCATCACCAACATCATCATTGCTATTGTCATTATAGGTTAGGAAAGTATAGATATATTTAGATATGAGGTATAAAGTGGCATTCCAATTTTTTAAATACAATGTGGAATGACTAGATGAAGTCCACCAACTGAGTCATTCATTACTGCAGCCATTTGACACCTCCCAGGATGAAAACCTCCTTGGGACTTTGTGGTACCTCGAGTGACCAGTGTGTGATAATTGGTACCCACTCTACAGCTCAGTGAACGACTCTTTTCAAGCCACATTTCCAGGTGAACTGTGTCTGCCCACTGTGCTGCCACCGGGTTCAGCGGTGAGTGGCAGCCACAGCTAGCTGCTGACACCTTTCGAACAACTAATTACCTTATCCACCATGAGGAAGTTCTCCAGCGTCTCCCCATTTCCACACGCGACGTCCCCAACCTCTCTTACGGCTCTGGGCAGGACCTCTTGCACCTCTTGGGCAATCATTCCTATACACAGAACACTCCAGCAGGGTTAGTGGGGGCGGGGCGATGCTCGCAGGATTTCCTACATCAGAATGGACTACCGACAGCCATGGGGATTCTGGAAAGAGTTTACCTCAGCTTTGCTTTGATCTACAACTGAAGCAAGAACCACTATAGAAATAAAAGTCTCCCCACGACTTCCCTTCCTCCCCCTCCTCACTCTTCTATTGTTTTAAGACTCTATCTAATGTTGGGAAGGGTGAATAAACACCTTTAAATCCCTATACAGAGAAGGAAGCAAGTTATTAGTTTGATTCCTTTACGTTCCTATAGGAGACTTTGATTCCTCAGTGTTCCTGCTTCTTTTTAGGATTCCCAGGCTGAGGAACGAGCATTACTGTGCTGATGGTCTCTTAACTAGCTTCACCCATCTGTCATCCTTTTACTCCGTCCCTAGACTGCCCAGGACTCCCCTTCATACAGCTTTGCTGCTCTCTGCCCTTACACCCTCACCTCACAAGCAATCTATTCAAACTACTCTACCAGGACTTGGGGTGCAGCATGGAGGCGTTAAGTAAAGGTGACCCACACATTCTCTAATCTTCCCTATTCCAGTGACTGTGGGCTTCACAGAGGATGTGCTGGATCGGCACGGTATTGTCAAATGCCCCAGCACACAAGTTCACGATCAAGAGACCAAGAGTTGCTTCAGAGCTGAGAACAGAAAATTGAAGAGGCTCTGTGTCTGTACCTGTTTGGTGGGCCGTGTTTATCCCCATGGCAGATGCAAATTCCGGCTTGTAGTCATATTCAACAATCCTCATCTGGGCTATTCTTCTCAGCTGTTCGTTTGTGTCAACCTGATTTAATTAAAGGAGAGCAAATTTCACCTGTTTAGGTATTTGTTATTCAAATCAACAGCAAGCATGACCCCGAGAGGCTAGGTAGACTGACAGCCTGACTGCCCTTTTCTGTTGACTGAACTAGATTAGGAGATGCTTCCTACCTCCTCCTCAGGAAAGCCAAGGCTTTAAGATACACACTGCTAACTGCCATCCCCTAAAAAATTTCAGTCTAAATTATGGGGCCCAAGTGCCTTCTACTCTGCTCTAGCCTTCCCTTCTCAGTAACGTTCGAGGATTCTCATGTTGGAGAGCCTGTTTAGGGTACCAAGGTGTCCTGCTCAATTGAGTCTAAAGGTTTGCCCCCCAGCTTCTACTTAGAAACTGAAAAGGCAGTGCTAGTTCAAGGACAACCTTGAGGTAAGGAGGGGTCCCATACCCTTGGGTTGCTTGGGCCATTTTGCCTGAGGAAGTTTCTCTGAGTGAGTTGCCCTCTTTTCCCTCCCCAAGCTTCTCAGGGCTTAGTTCAGCATCCTTCTCCCCGGCTGTGTGTCTAATGATGTCCCCAGTTGTCATTGCCAAGTCCTCAATACAAATTCTACTGGTCTCCAGAAAACTGATAGCAAGGTAGTGAAGTTAATCTTCCCTAAAAACTGAATGTTTGCTCCAAAGGATTTTCCCCTTTAATTTGAAGGATCTTTTTAAAATAAATTCACAAAACAGCTACATCTAACTTTAATGACATTAATTTGAAAAAATAAACTGGCGACTTTTCTGTATGTTCCCTGATTTTTCTTTTAGAATATATGTGAAGTCAATGCTATTTTGGCAATTAGAAATACATCACCCAGGGACTTTTGGGTAAGATGGCAGACTAAAAGCCATCTCTAAGTGAGTGAATGACTATAGTTAGGGAAATAGGGTCAGCCCTGCAGTACTGCCCAGGCAAGCTTCTCACCTCAGGACCCACTGACTGACAAACATGTGCCTCATTCTCTAGTGAACTTCCTCCAAGGTCTGACTTGGCACCCACCACTGCAACCACAGAGGCCACTTGGAATAAGGCATGCTGGCCTGGGCCCTCTCCAAGTCAGCCTTAGATGCCTCTTCTAGCAAACACCTACAGAAGCTGTATCATCAGTGAGTTTCTACCACAGAGATCTGCAGTGACCACCAGACTGCCTGCCTCCCCTGCATCCATCCCCTATCTGCCACCCCCACCAGGGCATAACTACCAACAGCAGTGAATGGTAAAGCAGCTGCCACTGTCCCAAAGTTTATCAGGGCAGCTGTCCCTAGCACAGCCAGGATCAATTCAGTCCCCCGGCCCCCCACCCCACCTAGGAATCAGCATTGTTCATCCCCACTGCTCAGCTTCACAGAGGTATGGCTCCTGGCGTCTCAGAGAGACTTGCAAACCTGACCAGGGTAAGCACAGGATACTAATCCAGACAGTTAGAGCAGGACTGCCAACAGGAGTCATCCAGAAACAGCAGCTTTCTCTCACCTGCCTTCACGAGTTGTGAAGTAGCAGTTCTGGGGAACCCAGCACTCTGCCAGCACACACCAGGAAGAGAAAGTGCAGCACCAAATCCATTCTACAAAGCCTGCGTTATCCTGACACCAAAATCAGATAAAGACAGACAGACAACTAAAGTACAGAAGACCAGTTTCCCTGCTGACAACAGATGCAGAATTTCTCAACCGAATGCTTGCAAACTGAATTCAAGAACGTAGCAAGGTGACCCGTTATGACTAAACGGGCCCCGCCTCAGAGATGTAAGGCTGGTTCAACACGAGCAAATCAACAAATGTACTACACAGAATTAGTGGACATAAGGACAGAAATCACAAATCCTCCCAATAGAGGCACAAAAGGCATTTGACAAAATTCAGGGTGTCTTCATGATAAAAAGTCTTAGACAAATTGGTAATAAATGGAATGGACCTAAAAATAATGGAGGTTATATACAACAAACGTCCAGCCAGCATTATGTAAGTGGAGAAACTGGGAGCATTTCCTGTAAACTCTAGAATGAGAAAAGGTTCCCACTCGCATTCAGTCCGGTCCTCAAAGTCAGAACAGGAAGAGAAGAGAACGTTACAAGTGGGTTAAAATAGAAAGGAAGAATTAAAATTATCCTCATGCACCGATCATGTGATTCTATACTAAAAAGACCCTACAGACCTTTCTAGAAAGCTCCTTCAGTTATATTGCAGAACGCAATGATCAGCAGAGGAAAACCAGTGCTTTGGTCTATACAAATAGTAAACTTGCTAAAAAGGAAAAAAGAAAAATGATCCCATTTCCAATACCTAAAAATAAATAAATAAATAAAAATAAAGGACTAGAAACAACCCTAACCAAGGAAGTGAAGAATCTCTACAATGGAAACTTTAAATCTCTGGAGAAAAGACTGAAGAAGTTATCAGAAAATGGAAAGACCCATGGCCATAGGTTAGTAGAATTAATATTGTGAAAATTACCATTCTACCAAAAGCAATTTACAGATTCAATCAATACCAATAAAAATGTCTGAAACACTCTTCATAGAAATAGAAAAAAAATTTAAATTCATATGGAACCACAAAAGACCCCAGATAGCCAAAGCAATCAGCTCCCGAAACATTTTAAACCCACCGCAGCAGGGATTAAATTATGAGGTCTCTACACTCATGAATGGATTGATAAAGGGCTATAAGGAATGGAGTGTGGTTGTACGGGCCCTTACTCCCTACATTTAGAAAACAGAGGCAGGTCCATCTCTGTGAGTTCAAGTCCAGACTCGACTACCTAGCAAGTTCCAAGCCAGCCAGAGCTACATAATGGAATTCTTTCATATATATATATATATATATATATATATATATATATATATATATATATATATATATAGCTCAGAAAGTCAGACCTCTTTTCTTTGTGCTCCTCCATCTTTCTACCATGTGAAAATACTGTTCCACACACCTCCTTGGCACACCTTTAACTGCAGCCTTTGATAGACATTAAACCCGTCAGTGCCTTTATCTTGGAATTCCTTGTAATAGCCTGTAGAATTACGAGTAATAAATTTCTATTGTGTATAAATTGCCCAGTGACATTTCATTATAGCGCACAAATGGTCTGTGATCCTTCTAGAAACCCTGGAAGAATGGCGTTTTCATTAAAAGTTTGGAAAAACTGAGTCAGAGAGAGGAAAAGATGATGTTCACAGATCCACGCCAGTACCGATGACTTTACCACCGTCAATCTCATATCTGTAAGGAGTGGCAAACGGGGCAGCTGGAAGTTTTAGAAATATATCCACTTCACAAATACAGATAGAACACACATACTAATATGAGACAAATTTTTAATATATCATATTAATAGTATGTATTTTGTGCAAGTAAATCTACTGTTTACTTAGTTGTATACAGGTTAAAAAAATGTTCCACACATAGGGTCTTAGAAAAAACTCATGATGTGGGTGAAAGGCTCACACTCAAGCATTCTCTCCTCACGGATTGCAAGCCAGAAGCCTGACACACCCCTGGGTTAAGTCCTGAGCTGACACTGTCAGGGTACATCTCCAGCCTTCTAAACATAGTCCACAGTTCTCTTTGTCGCCTCAGGCTGCCAGGAACAGAGGCAGGAGTGGGGAGTTCCTCATCTGGAGTCTAAGGCGAGGGACACGTTACTTATACCAAGAATGCTTCCTAGAAGAACTTTAGAAGCTCCAGGGATGTTTGTTATTTAAGACAACCTATTTTCTTTAATTGAGAGCAAAATGTGATGACTTTTGGTAAATGAAACTCTATGGAAGCCCAGTGATAGCAACCAGGATTGTGGAGGACATTCTCAAATTGTGACACTCCACCGAGACTTCCGATTGAGCAGTCATAAGCCATTGGTGTGGCCAGATTCGAGAAGACGTCTGAGCTGGTATCAGCTGAAATGCATGTCTCTCTAAAGCTCGAAATTTAGAACTATAAGTTGGAAACGTATGCCAGGACTTTCTAGTCCTAAATTCCCACCCAAGGAGGAGGTCACAGCAACCCTAATGTGAACGGCAGCTTGGCAAGCAGTCTGAAAGTCAGCAGTTACAACCCTTCTTGGGAATCCTCTCAGCGGCCAGTTCAGAAAACCCAGAGCACATTTGCACTGGGAAAGGAACGCAGGCTGGAAGAGAGACCCCCGATTATCAGATTAGACCCACTATTGGTTAAAAGAAGAACAAGTAAAGGAGGGAAAATGAGGCTAAAACAATTCTTAGCAGTCTTGTGAGACGGTGGAAAAATGGTGGATATGGTGAAGGTAAGATTAGATACCAGAGAGGCTGGAATCAGGAGTGGCCTGACTCGAGACTCAGTCTTCATCCTGATCACCTTGGCCCACGGAGCTACCACAACTTTCCAGAATTTTGTACTCTTGTTGCAAGTAATTAGAAAATAAATAACTCCCGAGGGTCGGGCAGGCCCACTTCCATGTCACAGCTGAGGACCCTGACTTCAGCCAGGGGAAGCGCCTTTATCGAAGTGGCTTTTCGGGCCAGATTGTGTTATCCACTAGGCCACTGTCTGTCCTAAGTGGAGCAAGACACCAGGGGTCCGGCCCAGAGGTGGTTGTCCCAGGAAGGCCCCTGACTGGGGAGCTTTTCAAGTGCTCCCCAAAGATCTTACATGGGGGCCAATGCTTGCATGGCTAACAGAGCCAGTACAAGGGACCCTGGGAGGAAGGGGCTGGAGAAGTCTATGTCCAGCAACCCGATGGAGGGGTACCAATGGGAGACAGGAAACGTCGCCGAGCATGGAAGGAAGGCCCCGGCCTGGGGGAAACAACTATAAAACATGCTCTCCGTGACACCGGTGACATGCTACCGCTACCCACTGACTCTGTTCGGTAAACCTGTCCCCCAGGGAGAGGGACAGCTTTATAACTGCAGCAGAGATGCCCAGCAGTCCCAACCATCATTATCTTCAAGTAAGTTGTTACTTCACACCAACAGGTGACACAGAAACATGCCCTGGCCGGGAGTGTCAGACTGGAGTCCCAGGCACCTGACTGAGGTGTCCGAGGAAGGGCCCTGTGGCGTACCCCAGGCTCACCTCCTGGATATTCTCCTTCACCCGGCTGTCAGAGGGATGCAGGATGGTTCCCATCACTTTCATGTTGCCACAGACAACCAGGGCTTCGTCAGGTGCATCTGTGTTTATTCCTACTCGACCGTGACAGATGACGGCTTCTGGAACTTGTCCTCGCTGCCACAATGCATCACTGTCATTTTCAAACTGCCCAGGGTTAGAGGCCTGGGGAAACACAGTGGCATGTCACAGTTAAAGTTACGGTGGCAGAAACGGTTGATCATGAGTCCTCCGGAGCAAAGAAAAACAGACTGTTATCTGAGTCCTTCCCGTGAGACTCCCCTACTGGGTAGAACACTCTGATGCAGACAGATAACACTGAGAGCCCAGGAGAGCCAGAGAGGCCCCCAACAGCGGGAGCTCTGCATGCCATGGCTGAGAACATCCAATCTCTGTAACATTTCTCAGAGACTGCACTGGGTGTTCAGTTACATGGACAACTTTAAAAGATGGGGAGGGGGAGCGGGGACTAAAAAGGACTCTCATTTCAGACATAATAAGAATTTAAATTCAGAACAAAAAAATGTGCATTATTTAATGCTCAAGGAAATTAAAATACCTTGTGTTTAACTAGCCTTTTATAACTGCAAAACACTCATATGAGTGATTTCTATGCAATTGACAAACACCACAAACATATAAAATACACCTCAACTACTCCCTAAACATGGGTGGTACTGTGGAATAGTGACAGCTACATTTTTTTGTGGTAATTCATACAGTGATTCTGATAGAAGCACCGTTATGCTCCTTTATTGACGCTGGCACACCGAAAGGACAATAAATTGCCCAAGAACAGGTAGAAAATCAGTGCTACATTTCCTCTGATTACTAAAGAATGACTCAAACTTTGCTGTTTCACAATGTGGCCTAGAGGTAGCCCCGGCAATCTTTAAAAACAACCCAAGTGAAACTCTTGGGCCAGCCAAGGTTCTGAAGACTTTCCTTCCAATAAAACCCTTTGCCAAAGAATTTCTACCGGGTTACACTCTTTCCTCCCGGCTTCCCTAGAGCTGATGAACGTGTTTCCAAATACCTTGCATAGGGGTCTCCAAATCCCTCCCATTCCTCACAACAAAATCTGCTTTCTTTTTCTAAATGGTGATGTGTTCTTCTAAATGTGATTTTTGCATTTGTAGATAGTCGTGGAGAATCCAGATTCACTAGGACCCTGACACCTCAGCGGATAACACTAATACAGTGACCTCACTTTTGCCCATCTGGTGGGCCTCGCGTACCTAGGCACCATTTACCCAGTAGACAGACCAAGGAGTCATCATGCCAGTTTGCTCATGAACACACACAGGGAGACCTAGGAACTGGGGTGGGCAGCAGAGGCAGTGTTCACGAGACACTTTTTTGGTATTGCTTGAATGTTCTGGTACCTGCATGTGCTATACACTAAAACAAAATAAAATAAATAAAAGAAGCCACCAAGGTTAGCAGCTCTTAGTTTGATTTCAACTGAAGAACTTTTGGGCAACTCCCACCTCCTCTTCTGTTTCTGCCATCTAAAAACTTAAGACGTCTCAGAAGACCCCGCCACTGACCCTTCACAGACAACAGCAGTGGGAAAATCCAAACCAACAGCTTGAAATGCTATTTTATATAAATTCACTTAAACAAAAGCTTTTCTGCAAGATCCCTGGAGCCCTTTGGATGGGAACTGTGAGTTGGCTTTGACTCAAATTCTTTTATGGTGAGCGATCAACAGAGACACAAGGCGAGCGCTGATTAGAACCACTCTGAGGCAACACACCAGGACAGGGATGGACTCTTGATGCTAGCGAGCTCTGGGATAATTCTTATCATGTTGGTAACTGGATACTGGAGGAACAAATGTAAGTAGATTTTTTTTTTTTTTAACGCAACACTTACTTGTTTCATCAGCTAAAGCTAAATCCCTCGAATGTGTTCAAATTTTCTCACAAAGGGACACAGATCCACAATGAATACTAAGAAGGGGTCATCATCTCAAGTGAAAAATACTGTAAGATCTATGCATCTCCTTCCCCTCCCCGGAACCCAGGTCTTCATGTGTCAAAGCGGTGTGTACTGTACCCTCTCCACAGTGGTGGCTGGACACCAAACACCAAAATGGTTTCGTTTACTTCCCTAAAATATTTTTGTCTCATGGTTTCATATGTTTAGGGAAGACTTGAACATTCTAGTCTGGGTTATGAAACCCACTGGTGGTAGGACTCTAGGGTGGCCATTTATCTCTGGGTGCCAGCATTATCTCTTGAAGAATAGCGATAACCCTACTTATTGTCTTTTCACATCTCCAAAGGCTATTGTGGGAGTAAGTGAAATCGTGTGTGCGTGAACAGTCTGCAAGCTGAATTAACACAAATTCATCCTCCACGTTTGACTGGATGCAGCCATCACTGAACAACACACCTGCGGAATCACAGTTCCCGGGACTCCTTTCTGCAAGAACACAATGCAAAGGGCGCCCCCTGCAGGTGCTTGGGTAGCAAACAGCATTAGAAGTGGTTTGAGTCCGGAATGAAGATCGCTGGAATTTCTTTGTCTCAGCTTTGTTTATGGCTCTAAACACAGTCAAGGCCCCAGTAGGAGAGCTTGGCCTTAGCAAGCAGCTTTTAGGAAATCAATCTGTGCCTCTTCTGAAAGAGTTACTAAAATTGGGTCCAAAGATATTCTTCAGCAGGGCCATACAGGGTGGTGTACGGATTCACAGCTATCCATTGCCGGGAGCTTGTTAGAAATGCATATTCTTGGACATCTCCGGCTATTAAAATAAAAACTCTGGGGTGGACATGGCTATCTATCTATGTCTGCACAAGCTCCCCGAGTAGGTAGGGGTGTGTGTGTGTGTGTGTGTGTGTGTGTGTGTGTGTGTGTGTGTACACATGCATGCCCATGCGTAGGGAAAGAAAATTTGTGACCAGAAATCTCCAAGAGCACATGAAAAGGAGCTGGTTCCCAGGATAGGCCTTTTCTAGCCTGATCTCTCGCCAGTCATGCAGATGCTGCTGTCTTTGGTGTTGACTTTCTACCACGGTGTGGTTTGCAGGGGGAAAGCAGGAATCCTTTCTCCCAGAATGAAACAGAAATAATGTGTTTCTTTTTAAAAGGAGAAAATCTCAAAGTATCTTTGAAAGACAGACAAAGTAATTGTTCCACTGCTTGCCATACAGCACCCCCAAACCAGCTCTAATTAAATATTTCAGAAAGGAAAGCTGAGCTGAAGAAAAGCCTCATCCAGGACCTCAAAGGAACTCCACCCAGGAAGGCTCCCAAAAGCAAAGGCCTGGGAAATACATCTGTTGATTGGAGACTAAACTAGTCCATTTACACCACAGGCACGTTTAATGTATTTCTAAAGCTGTTAGGTGGACAATGACTGAAATCAGGCCACCATTCTCCCTCCAAGGAGAATTTTTGACAAATGTGGTGTCCTGGACACCTCCCAGAGGCCAGAGTCTCAGGGGCAGTCCTCATACCGCCCCTTCTATCAAACAGGAAAGCACTGATTTCCACTTGAGAAATGGCTCAAGTCCACAAAACTAAATCTGATTTTCTTTTGTTTGTTTTTGGTTTTTGGTTTTTCGAGACAGGGTTTCTCTGTGTAGCTTTGCGCCTTTTCCTGGAACTCGCTTTGGAGACCAGGCTGGCCTCGAACTCACAGAGATCCGCCTGCCTCTGCCTCCCGAGTGCTGGGATTAAAGGCGTGCGCCACCACCGCCCGGCTTCTAAATCTGATTTTCAAAGAGCGGCTCCCTCTCCCCTTGGCATAGCCAAGCATGCAAAGCCTTTCATTATTAAACTTTCCTTCTTGTCTTTTATTCTGGAGCTCAAGCTGACAGAACTATGGCCTTAGAGGCCACACTTGATTCTTGGGTACAATGCAGTATCGACCTGTATGTATCGACCACACAGACATGGTCCCTTCTAGAGTGTTGAGCGCAGCAAACGCTGGGCGAGCATTTCTAAAACTACCTGAATTAAACAATAATGCCATCTCTTACATTTTTCTTCTCTCTCTCTCTCTCTCTCTCTCTCTCTCTCTCTCTCTCTCTCTCTCTCTTTCTTCCTTCCCCCCACAGTGTTAACCATTTCAGTGGACTGAGGAGTCCGCTTCCACTTTCACACCTGTGTTTTGGAACGAGCATGAACTAGCATCAGTGAGATGGTTTCGGCTTGGGTGTGTTACCTTTGTTCTTTTCTAGGGTAAGTTGGTGTCTCCTAGTGTATTGCTACAGCAAGGTGCTCTCTTTAACCAAAAATAATAGCTGGAAGGAAGCTACTGTCTCTGAGGTACAATATGACTCTAAATTTTAAAAATTGAGAAAATAGCGTAACACCTAATCTGTGCTGAGTGCCTGCCACTCGGTGTGTTTCATATTCAGACTACATGTGAGTTCCGCCAACTTCCAAGCTCCCGAGCTCACCATATGAGCTCACACCGGTGACCTTCGTGCTGTGATGAGGAGGTGTCGGTTAACAGAGTTTCCAGTTAGCGGAGTTCGGGTGAGCTGGGCTCCCTTCCTCTCCTGGAAGTTCCTGTGTGAACTTGCAGGGTACTGAGGGCACAGCCAGCCCGGGAAAGGAAAAACCCTACTGCCAGGTAAATTATTCGAAGAATGCGGGTGACTAGTAGACTTCATGACTGAAGTGCTAATCACAGGACAGCGTTAGTCAAGGCTCCAGACTGCACTGTCTAGCCCACTGACCTATGCTGTCTCATTCCTTCTGAAGTCAAAAACAGTGAGCAACCTGTTTTCTGGACTTGAATTCAAATCAAACTTGCTAGCATAGCAATCCGGATTATACCAGATGAGATGTCCAGGATGGCTCTGACCCCGGGGGATTGGGCAGACATCTCTGTGATTGGCTGCCTGTTTTTTGCCTCCAAAGAGCCTCACTGGCCTACAGTTACGTCAAAAACAGCCTGTGTATGAACAGCTGGCTTTTCATGCAAATATTTTTCTCCACCTCTGTCATGACCTCACCTCCAGTAAAATTTTTAGGGTAACTGAAGGGTTTTTACTAGTTGGTAGCTTATTAGTTTTAACTGACTGAAAGAATCACAGAGGATTCTTTGTTTCAAACATGCTCGAAGCAGGCAAGAAGAAACATCGCTTTCTCTTAAGTGGGTAGATGTGTCCCCAGGGCCTTGGGTTGGTAGCCGTGATCATGGGCATGCCCACAGTGAATGAAGCTAGCTACCTACAGGAGCTTCACAGCCTCCCTATGTCACAGCACAGCCTCACTCACCCAAGGCTGCCATGCCTGTGGAACCTGTTCCTCACGCCCTGGAGCTCTCAGTGGCAGCCAGTCTGGACTCTCAGCCGCAGCTGCAGCCTCTAGTGGCTTAATGTTCCTGTGTCTGCCAAGACGCCCATCCGCAGCTGCAACCATTCAGCAAACGTGTTGAGCTTTTTACAGTGTGTGAGGCAGTGGCCCAGATGCCCTGGGGTCAGCAGTCACATTGGGACACAGGAAACCTTCCTGGTGCTTCCCTCACTCATCAGGCCTGGGTCAGAGGGAACTGGGCTGCGGTGCAGACTCCATTGTTTACGAGCTGAGTGATCCTGCAACCAGACCTCTGTTCCTCTGACTATATAGAGAATACTCATAGAGTGAAAATGCATCATCAGTATAAAGTGGTATCATGTGTAGATGTTTAACCAGCACCTCCCACAGAGAGTCATTGTCAGGGTTTCCCAACCTCAGTACCATGGCGTTTGGGAAGGGAATGCTTCCGGTGGGCATGTTGCCCTGTGCATTGTAAAGTATCCCACAGCGTCTCGGGTCTCTACGCACGAGATGTCAGGTGTGTTGAAAGACCCTCAAGAGACAAAACTGCCCTTGGTTGAGAACCACCATATAAAAACTAACATAGTTTCTGCTATTACCACCATCAACAGCAGCCGTTAGGAAAAAGTACACCTCACGTATGTTACAAATTCAGCGTCTTCCTACAAGGGAGAAAAGCATACACAGTCCGGAAAACCAGAGAGCTAAGCTTACCCGAACAATGATCCTTTCAGATACGTGAGCAGCCAACAGGTAGAACTGGTCCTGATTAGCAGCATACAGTCCGACCACCAACATGAAGTATCTAATTCAGAAAGAGCAGATGGATGGGGGCACATCAAAGAATGCATTTGGTGCACATATATACAAGCAGGAAAGGCACTCATGCACATAAAATAAATGTGGGAAGAAAAAAGTTTTCCAGGCCACACCCTCTTTGCTCATGGTAGTGTTTCAACCTATGAAAAGGATCAAAGAGAGACTGGGGGTACACACATCCAGAGCTGACTGTAGATCTCAGGCAGGGGACTGGGAGACACTCTCCTCTGCTGGGAAACAGAAGTCTTTCTTGAGGGCCCGGGGGGGAGGGGGGGCTGAGGGGTGAGGATGGGGGGGGGCTTATCCTGAACACAGCAGTTCCTGTGGCAGGGATCCTAACTCCCGAGCCACTCCAGAATCCCTCACAGTGGCACTCTAGTCTTTTCAGTTTCTAGACAAGAATTCTCCCCTTGAACCAAATCAAATCAATATTAATAACGATGGCTTTCGTTGTTGTTATGGACTCCCACTGAGGACTCAGAAGTTGGCACATATTGGGCTAAACAGTTAGTCACGCCATTTCTTCAGATCCCCTAAAATATACTGGAGGAAGTATTGTTCTCACGTTATTTTATAGATTAGGAAATGAACTACAGATGAGACCAGTAGCATCCGGGGTGGTGTGGCCATAGACAGAAATTCATTTCAGACAGGTTAAGTTACACGCCTAAGGTCACTGATCTAGCAAATAACAGTGTCACGTCCAAACTCCATCCCACCCAACAGCACAGCGTCTGTCCTGGGACCAGTGGCTCTCCCATTTGAGCCCGCATCAGAACTACCCAGAAGGCTTGTGGAGCTACAGCTGGCTAAGCTCCCTTGCCAACACCTGAGTCAGCAGATCCTGGTGAGGCTTGAGAGCTTGTATTTCCAAATGTGCCCTGGTAGCTGCCATCTCTACCAGACAGGCCTCGAGGAGCCAGTGTACATTATTAAGGAACTTTTCCTCATTTTTTCTTCTTTCCTTTTTGATTTTTTCCCTTTTCCTTTCCTTTTGTTTTTGGAGACAAGGTCTTACTACATAGTCCAGGTTAGCCTTGAACTCAAGATCTCCCTGCCTCTGCCTCCCAAGTGCTGGGATTATAGGTATATGCCAATCTGCCCAGCTTTTTTTCCCTACTCTTTCTTTAAAAAAAAATGTGTGGGGGGGGTAGTTTCAGGTCCAGCACACAGGCTTGCTAAGTACAGTCAGTCCTCAACCCAAGAGCAAGGAGCAGAACACGTAGTCACCCATCTAGAGAACCAGGAGTGGGAACTGCAGGGTGCGGGGATGGGATAACAAAGATGTCCGGGTAAAATGAGATATGTCAATAATAAACCAAGCCGGAGAAGGGAGGAGATCCGTGAAGCAGGCTGGGTAGTTCCGTGGATGGAGGGGGGGGCACTGAAGGCCGCTTCCTGGCTAGGTGATGTGTCTGGCAACTCTTGTTCACAGTGACCCAGGTACCTCTGGTCGGGATTTGGCTTCCCCTTCTTTCTCATGTTGTTGGCTGTGGTTTCGCTGAAGTGTAACCGTCCCAGCGTCACTTTGGTAACCTGGTCAGTCAGGAGGTCAATTCTAAAACAAACAACGGAAGTGTGAAAAGACAGCAAAAGAACGCAGCGCTGGATCGCGTCTGGTCTCCCGAGACCCTCAGTGTGTTTGGTCCCGTGTTCTCACCACACTGCAGAGGCAGCATGCTCTAGGGGTTGTCACTTAGGTAGGGATCCAGAGCACGGGGAGGAGTGTCCACCATGGAAGGTCACAGAACGACTCCTTGCTAACAGAAGCTATGCTTCAGGTTCTGGACCCAAGGACCAGGAACTCAACCTGTACCAACGGGTTCCTGTTGCCTCCACAGCGGGAGGCAAGATGCTCTCACGTGTGTTGCTACACTGTTGCTACAGCACCCCACTCCTCACAAGTGACCTCTTTGGGTTCTTCCAGAACTCTGGCTTCTCCTTCAAGTAGGTGACCTCCCACAGCTAAGCAACAGGAGGCAGCATCCTTCTAAGAAAAGCCACTGCAGCCTGCCCAAGCAAGGGAGCACCACCCCCTCCTGCATCCCCCCTCCCGCCCCATGTGCCAGATCATGAGCCTGGGCTCCACGGCATTTTGTATGAGTGGCTCTGTCCAGGCTCTAGAAGCATCCTGCCTCGAATGAGCTTGACTACAGTCTCAGCCACCTCCACTGCATCCGGGCCAAATAAGCCGGGGAACGGATGCCGCCTCACGCCATGCTAGAGAGAGGGCTCTAACTTGTTACTTCATTACTGCTGTGGATGCTACCATGGGTGCAAGCTCTCACACCAGCAACTGTCCAGGTCACCGTGAAATACATGGGGAAATGAACTGTATGCACGCATGTCGGAAATATTGAAAATTCAACCAAAATTGTGCTAATCCAAATTAAAATTAAAGTATCTATCTCAAGGAATCAAATTGTTAGCAAGTTCATCAGTTATCAAAGCTTCTAAGAAGAATGGTGAGTTTTTGCATGGACCTTTTCATAAAGATTTTTTTGCAATGATCTCAAAGCTTTATTTTTATTGATAAACATGTGTTTATAATACTAGCATCCTATTACTAACTTAAATCTATTATGGGTTCTGTTGTAAACAGGAAAAACAAATAATACTAGTCACCTTCCCCAAACCTTCACCAAGACACTCAGAAAAGAAATTCTTACTTAACAGGATCGAAAGTCTTTTTGCTCCTATCTGCTTGGGACTGTTCAATAGCAATCACTTGATTAGTGGCTTCTACCTGTATGGGAAGACAAAAAGTAAATCAGTTACTTAATCAGTCAACTTTCTAAAATTAATGTGCATTCATAGAAAATGTTCAGGTACTTAGAACCTTTGCCAGGGTACCAGGCTAGACTCCCGGGGGCGGGGGGGGGGGGGGGTCTGAATTCTAAAAAAGACACGTTAGACCAGATAGTGGGCACTGTCCACCAGCAGCATGTCACTGATGGTAAGAGAGAGATGCCTGCATAATTAAATGATGGAATATAGAGTGAGCTATTAAAAGACCAAATTATCAGAAGCAAAAATGAATAAAAATAAAAATAAACTAAACAAGAGCAAGGCAGCTCAAAGGATACATCCATCATCCATCCATCCATCCATCCATTCATTCATCCATCCATTCATTCATCCAACCTCCACCCATTCATCTATTCATTCATTCATTCATCCATCCATCCATTCATCCATTCATTCATCCATTCATCCATCCATTCATCCATCCATCCATCTATTCATTCATTCATTCATTCATCCATCCATCCATCCATCCATTCGTTCATTCAGCCATTCATTCATCCATCCATCCATTCATTCATGATTTAGTGAGCACCTACTATGCACCAGGCACCACTCTAAGCATTATAGATAAGTGGACAAAGCAGTCAATTCTCTTATTACTGCCCTTTTCTTTCTAGAAGAAAAAAAAGTGAATAAAATTGAAAATGGACCAGATGAATGCACTTGGATGTACACACAGAAATACAGTGAATTCCAATAATATGTATGATTAATACATATTGGTAGGTATAATGTAAAAGTGAATAAAAATCACTAGGCCTGGTGGTACAAGCCTGTAATGGCAGGTGCTTGAGAAGCCGAGGCCAGTAATCAGGTTCATACTTGTCTGGGTGACAAATGAATTTAAGAACAGCGTGGGCAACTAAGTGGAATCCCATCTCAGAAGAGAAAATGAAAAAGAAGTCTGGGAATAGAGTTCAGTTAGTCCTTGCCTAGCATGTATGAGACCATTGATTGCTCCCTATTAACATACACATACGCGTGAGTGCGCACACACACACACACACACACACACACACGTCAGTTCTGGCAGAGCCTAAGTTCTAATATGAAGGAGCAGTGGCGTGGTTTCTAAGTAATACATGAGATGGTGTTTCTTCTACAGCCGCTACACACCCTATTCTGTGAACACTGCCCGCACAGTGCTCCCATTCACTGCATGTGGGCATTCATACTGGGGCAGTCTTTCTAGGCAGCAAAGAGGCAACTGACATCGATCCCCTCTTGGAATGTATCCCCCGGCACCCATGGAGGCACATACATGTTCAGTGAAGTTTTGCTAAGAACTCTACAAGACAGAAATGAAATTTCCAATAATAAAACCCTTCATATTATGCGTCCTTAGAACACAAAACTGTGTCGGCTTTGTTAACAGGATCCCAAGAAGTCTGCACTACCACAGACCTTCATAACGGAAGGTCAGCAGGATACCATTCATTATAACAAGAGTGAAATTAGTCTACTGACTGCTGGACCTCGACAGGGAACCTTCCATCTCTTCACACATTCCTATTATGGACCAGCATTTTTGCGGTGGACACATTATTTCCATACTCATAAAAACATGTTTGATGGTTGTTGCTTGTTTGCTCATTGTCTGTATTTGATTTTTGCTGCTGGTTCCTTTTAAGAGTTCAGCTGGAAACAAAGGGGGTTGGTGGATACAACATCCAGCTACATTTCAGAAGACACCACACCTAAGCTGAGGTCCACCATTAGGATGAAGTCTATGTGTACTGGACACCACTTCTCCTCAGGGGCTGGACAGGAGATATTTTGGCCACTCTCAAACCACACTGCGTGCATATTAGAAGAAGCACAGTTGAGCTGTTGGTGACTGCCAAAGCGAGGCATCAGACTCAGACTGACCAAGTTGCAGATGTGCAACCCAAATAAATGACTGCTATTACCTTTAAGTCACTAATATTTGCGATAGGGATCATGTAGTGTGGATAAAGCGACTCTGCCGTTACTATCCTAGATGAATTATGTAACACCACTGGGCCTCTGTTTCCCTGTGTTAAACTACAGAAAGGGGGCGCTGACTAAATAATGATTCTTTAGCTTTTGAAGTTGGAGAACGCTCTGAGAACTGGGTTAAGACTGAATCCACTCCCTGTGGTCACGCACCAGCATCAACACGGACATGGTTGAGAGCAAACGCACTAAGATGAGGCTACAATGTACACACTGGAAACTAAAAGCCACAGTTGGAGGCGATGTGGTGCCCAGGTTGGGGCTCACATCTGAGGAAGTGGCAGATTCTACTTCCTTTATCTTGGACCTTTATTCACCAGGCTGGAGGAAGCACAAGCCGCCTCCCTGAGACATCCATGCAGAGAAGAGCTGATGCCGCCCAGCATCAGGCGACAGGAAGCCTGAATGTGACTGGCACATCAGAAACCGCACAGGGGCCTTCTCTGGCTGACAGCAGGAGAGGGGTGAGCTGTGACAGCCACACCTGACCAGGTGGCAGCTTTGGGGTCTGAATAAGTTACAGCTGTTATTTTTACATCACTGAGGTCTGAGGTTAGGATTATGAGGTAATAGGTAACTAGAACACTTAAGAAATACTGGTCAAAGTAAATTGAATTAATAAAAGACCTACCTTAATTCCAAAAGCTTTCAAGTAAAACATTTCTATTGGCTGAAGGCCCGTTTGGGTTTTAACAAACTTCGGACTTCCCCAGACTTGGATATGGATAGTTATCTGGAAATGGTTCTTCTTTTGACAAACAAAAGCTTCATCTACTGGCGAGAAGGTGAATCCTTTGTCCGTCACCACTTGATAGCCCACATCAGGCCTGAAAAGAGAGGGATCATGAAACCAATTGCACGGTGTTTGCTTTTTTTCATTGATGGTATCAGGAGTATAAGCAGCCCATTGTGCAGAGCTCACTGGGCAAAGTCCCCTTTGCTACATTTAATCAATCCACTTCCTGCATTTCTACTGCAGAAATGAAAATAACATTTTTGAAGCACACTGGCCTTTTTAAAATCTTATAAGGAAGCAGTACAGATTTTGCCAAATGGAACCATTGTTTCCCCGGAATTCTCCTTGGTGCTTTCTGAACTTTTAATCTGACTCCACACCACACCGGAGAAAGGGGGAGGCTAGAGGCTCAGCAGTCACCACATCACTCACAGTTATTTATCTAGGGTACAACTAATATCCTCCCTTTAAAAGAAACTCCTAAAGGGCTAGGGACAACTCTAAACCAAGTTACCCCGAGTCAGTCATTGTACTGACTGGAAACACTTTCTCCCCTGGAATATTCTCCGTCCCTTGGGTCCTTCCAATCTGGTAACAGCACTGAAAAACACCTCAAGGATTTCCTCTGCAGAAAAGAGAGGGACAGCAGCAGAGTGGCTAGTCAGAATTTTGGCTGTATTTAATATTTCCAGTAGTAATGTTCTGTGTATAATAGGATTAATAAAAATATTTTAAGTGTTAATAAAAGGGGGCCAAAGAGATGGCTCAGCAGCCAGGTGTGTGCACTGCTCTTCCAGCAGATCTGAGTTCGGTTCCCAGCACCCACTCTGGGCAGCTCACACCCACCTGGACCTCCAGCTCCATGAGAATTCAACCCCCCTGTCCTCCATAGGCACCTGCACTCATGTGTACATAGCCCCATGCAGACATATAATTAACAAAGTCAACCTTTTAAAAAATATTAATAAAATGAATGCATTGGATGCTAACATCCTTAACTAGACACAAACATGTAAAAGCTGTGAACTTCCTTGGTAAGCTTTTCCTGTACATGCTGCTGATGTGGAGCATGGTTTTTAATTCATCAAGGCTCCTAAAACGGGACTTCTTGCTCAGGAAAACAGTTCCTCCTCAGAGCCAGGAGTGAGAGTGAGGACAGGGGTACCCACTGGTCTCTTGTGGGACTACCTGCTTCCTGAGGTCCCAGCGAGGGTGGCTGTTAATCACAAAAGCATAGAGCTTTGAAAATTTTGTTGTAACTCCAAAACCAGAAACTGTTAGTGGGTCTCTTGGGACAGGGATGTCCACGTCCTTTCCGAGTTGAGTACCTGCCAATGGATGGTGTCCCTGCATCATTGATTGCCTTCAAGTAACCAAGTGAAGGTCCGGCAATCTCAGTGCTCACCAGCAGCAAAGGAAAGACCATTGACAAAGAATTTGAGGAAGACTAGGTGTCTTCTTCTGTCTAGGATCTTGAGATTGATTCTGGTTTCCGCAGTTAATCCGCTAATGCGCTTCTTAAACTGTGGGTCATAACCCCACACAGGGCCCACAAAACTGAATGGGCAAAATTTCAGTGCCAAAGAAATTAGTAACAGTAACAGGTTTGTGGCCAACAGTTAATTAAAATCAAATGTGCGCCGGGCGGTGGTGGCACACGCCTTTAATCCCAGCACTCGGGAGGCAGAGCCAGGCGGATCTCTGTGAGTTCGAGGCCAGCCTGGGCTACCAAGTGAGTTCCAGGAGAGGCGCAAAGCTACACAGAGAAACCCTGTCTCGAAAAACCAAAAAAAAAAAAAAATCAAATGTGCAGTGAATACATGTTTCTGGGTGCGTTTGCTCATGTCATGTCATGTTGTATGACGTCACTGCACCCTCAGTTCTGAACACACACGGGCACGTTGTAGTACGCACACCAACGCACCACACAAGGCCGGTGATGGCTGCCTGAAACACGGCTCACATTCCAAACAACTGTATGTTATAGGGTGTAGTGTTTCTACTGTCCGTACAAATATCTTTGTTCTTACAGAAAGGAAAAAGCTTGATTACAGAAAAGAAACTTTTTAATATTTTCTTATCATAATTACTCAGCAGGTAAGGATCCAATTAGTATATCTTTGCACTGGACTGTGTTTGAATATTTGATTTTAAAAATTGCTGTTTGAGTTGCCAACTTGAGTTTCATTTAAAAAAAAATAATTAAATGAATTTTGGCTTAGAGTTTGGATAGAATTGCCAAGTTTCTGAAATGGTCTTAAATACACCTTTCATAATGTTATACTATATACTTCTGTGAATCAGTGTTCTCAGCATTAATAATAAAATCAAAACATCTATAAACTCTGAAAAACATTGAAGGTATTCCATATCTTACAGTATCAAATATGAGCCAAGATTTAATTATTTATATAAAAATTAACACACACCCATCTTGTTAGTACGCAAATTTGTTTTTCTTTTTTAAATGGTGAAATTATGTTTCTACCAAAGAACTGTTTTTCAAATATTTTGTGTACCTATCTTACATACCTTCCCAGGGTTGTATAAAAATTGTTCAGGAGAAAGGGCTGTGAGTGGGAAATGTTGGAGAAAGCCAAGTCTAAAGACTAGATGGTGAAGTTATGCTGACTTATGGGTAATAATAACTGTCTGGGTGAGAAAGGAAGACTTTTGCGGTGTTTCATACCTCACTGTCAATAACCCTGAAAGAGGCGGGCTTACATCTCACACAAGAACCCACTGAAGAGACGAGCAGCTGGAAGCAGACATGGAAGGGCCATTGAGAACTAAACAGGGTTATGCTGAACTGTGACAGTTTCTGACTAAAAATCCGTCTCCTCACTGCAGAAGGAAATTCTTCTTTTGACATCAGAAATGACCCAGGAAGCCAACTGAACTCGTTTTGCCAACTCTCTTTGGTAGTTCATGCTTGAAACACCCAGGGAAAGGCAGGTTAATAAATGTTAATCCCCAACCTCATTGTTTTGAGGTAATCTAGGGAAACAAGATTTTCATAACAAATTAAACATATTTACCTATAAACAAGTAAATGATTTTCTGTCTCAGTGACTTGAATAGTCAAATCAAGAGAGCTTGAATAATAATCTCAGTGAATGCTGCCTTTTGTGTATGTGTGTGTATGTGTGTGTGTGTGTGTGTGTGTGTGTGTTTCTTTAGAAAAAGTGAATGATGCCTAAGTACTCAAAATAAATCTGCCTCTGTACCTTTGAGTTGATTCCATCTAGGGTCTCCTTTTTTTTCCAGATCAGTGGAGCACAGTCAGGCTGTTGAAATAGACGTGTGTGTGTGTGTGTGTGTGTGTGTGTGTGTGTGTGTGTGTGTGTATGTGTGTGTGTGTGTGACTGTGTGACTGTGTGTGTATGTGTGAGTGTGTATAAGTGTCTTGTGTGTGAGTGTCTGTGTCTGTGTGTGGAGCTGTATATGTCTGTATGTGTGTGTGACTGTGTGTGTGTGTGTGAGTGTATATGTGTCTTGTGTGTGTATGTGTGTATGTCTTGCGAGTGAGTGTCTATGTGTGAGTGTCTGTGTCTATGTGAGTGTGTATGTATCTTGTGTGTATGTGAGTGAGTGTGTGTGAGTGTCTTGTGTGTGAGTGTATGTCTATGTGTCTGTGAGTGAGTGTGAATGTGTGTGAGTGTGTGTGGGTATGTGTGAGTGTCTGTGTCTGAGTGTCTTGTGTGTAAGTGTGTGTATGAATGTGTGTGTATATGACTCTGTGTCTTGTGTGTGTCTGTGTGTGTGACTGTGTGAGTCTGTATGTGTTTGTATCTGTGTGTGAGTGTGTGCATGAGTGTGTATGTATATGATTGTGTGTGTGAATGACTCTGTGTGTGTGTGTGGTCTGTCTGTGAGTGCAGGCTCTAAGTGCCAGCACATGTGAAGGCCAGAGAACAACTTTCAGGATTTGGTTCTCTCCTGCCATCTTGTGGGAGCAGGGATGGAACTCAGGACTGCTCTCAGGTGCTTCTCCCCACAAAGCCACATGGAAACACAGTTTTAAAGTCTTCTGTGAGAGAGAGAACACTTACCTTTTAAAGGCTGACTCAGATGCATGGAGACAGGAAGGCTTTACTAAAGCACACACCTGCCTGTGACAGTTCCGTACTTCAGACAGAACATTCTCTCCAAAAGGTAATCAAGGGAGGCTGACTCAGAAGCAAGGCCCAGCAGCCTCCCTGTGTTTTCTAATCGCACACAGAAGCCAGGCACAGCTGTGACATTTCAATGACATCAGCTTCCTTCTGCTACCTAGTAAACACAACCCCCCAAATCTTTTTGAACCCTTGGGCTTGACTTCTAGAAAAACATTTATTCCTGTAGCCTACCCTGGATAAGGGTTCCAGAGATAAGCTTTGATGTATTTGAGTTTGGAAAACACCAGAAAGACCCTTGAGTATGTTGCCTAGTATTTCTCATCTCCTGTTATATTTATTACTTGAAAAGTCGAGCTTCAGTCAGAGCATGTTGCCTTTGAGCACGACAACACTGATTCCCAGCACAGATCTTAGGAGTAGTCACTTGGCAACCAATTTAGTGCGCCCCAAGTATTCTACGGTATTTATACATTTACTGCAAAGCTGGGTGCTAGTTTTTTCCAGTGTTTCCTTTTTGCTTTATATTTTCTTTTTTAACGTTTATCTTGGATGCACTGTGGAGGTCAGAAGACAACTCGTAGGACTCAGTTTTCTCTTTCTACCGTGTGGGTTCCGGGGATTGAACTCCGGTCAACAAATTTGACAGCAAGCACCCTTTCCTGCTCAGCCATCTGCCCAGCCCCCCAGCTTTTCCTTTTAACTGGGCTTCTTATCCTAAGAAGAGTTCCTCTTCTGCTGACATTTAGTGGGTAAATTATAATGAGTTGGAATTACAAGCCTCGGTTCTTGAAAGCCAGGAGCCTTCATCCCAATGATTTTTTTATTTAAGATGTAAAATATAAGGGGTAGGACAGAACTTTCTCAGTGATCCACCCAATACATGGATTAAGTCCTAAGATTTAGCACGGCTCCCACACCTGACACCGAATCTCCAGTCCATCCCAAGGCATTGCTAAGACCACTTACAGTTTCTCATAATGACTGTTTAATAAGCTGTGCCAAGGAACACTTTGGTACGGCTGCCACTTCAGAGCAGGGGAGCATTGGTCCACAGGCATCCCATTGTGTCCCTCTCGGTCATGGTCCTGCACGTCAATGCCGTGAGTCCTACTTGTCACTGCAAAAACAAACGAACAGGTGAGTTAAATTATCCCTACCAGGCTGTTCCTCTAAGACTCATGGGTAGCTGCATGGAGCTGGGGATAGGGTTGTGTGTAAAGTAGGAGCTACTGAGTGCTAGGAGGCAAGAGGTGTGCCGCGGACCCAGAAAAGCCCTTTTGGGTCAGTGAGCACTAAGAAGGGTCATTGGACACCTGTGGGATCCTACTTCCTATATAGCTTGTCACTTCCTGTGTGTCTGGTCCTAGTGAAGTCTATGCCCAGCCCCAAGAGGGTAGTTACCCAGGGTTCAATCAAGATACAGCATTAACTGCTTGCATCCAGGGTGGCCATGTGACCTCATGCAATGCAAGCACAGTAGATCTCATGAAATGACCAAGATGCTTTCTCTTTCCCATAAGGTTTGAGCCTCTGAGATACATTCTCAAGAGCAGCTGGTACCATTCGGGGAGAAGAGAAAGCCCATCTGGGGATGAAGCCAGCACTGAGTCAATGGGGAAAGCAATGTTGGCATTCAGTCTTGATATGACTTGAATTCTGGGTCCTAAACTCTTGTGTCAAAGGAGCCAACAGATCTGGTTGGTTTTATGTTTGGTTTGGGTTTTGGTGGTTGAGTTAGAAGAGTGTGTGTGTGTGTGTGTGTGTGTGTGTGTGTGTGTGTGTGTGTGTGTGTGTGTTCTAAGGAAATTTAATGATTTTGGTTTCCAGCTTTACTAATTTCAGTCAACATCCTAATTCGGTACAGATCTTTGTAGCACCAAGAGTCTGTGGCTCTCAGTGATTTCAAAGATGCACAATGGAGAAAAATGTAGATTCTTCAAACTGGTGCTAGAAAAACTAGATATCTGCATGTAGAAGAACAAACTAGATCCTTATTTCTCACCCCAAATGGGTCAAGGATCTTATACTCTAAAATCACTAGAGGGAAAATGCAGTCACAGATAAGGACTTTCTCAACAGGACTCTAGTAGCTCAGAAGGAGGCCAGCATCTAGTTAGATGGGACCTCATGGGGTTAAAAGGCTTCTGAAAAGCAAAGGGAACAATCTGAGTGGAGAGATAGCTCACAGAATGGAAGAAAATCTTTGCTAGATACACATCTGACAAAGAATTAATACCCAGAACATACATAGAACTCAAGAAACCAAGTGAGAAAACTAACCACTTAATTTAAAAATTGGGCTAAGAAACTGAACCGAGAATTTACAAAAGAAGAAATACAAATAACCAATAAATATGTTTTTTAACATTTATTTATTTTATTTTATGTGGATGAGTGTTATGCCTGAGTGTGTGTGTGTGTGTGTGTGTGTGTGTGTGTGTGTGTGTGTGTGTGTTCCTTGTGCACATGGAGAGCAGAAGAGGGCATCAGACTCCCTGGAACTGGAGTTACAGATGGTTGGGAGTCACCATGTGAGGCCAGCTCCTCTATAAGAGCAACATGTGCTCTTAACTGCTAAGCCGTCTCCCCCAAAAGATGTTTTTAAAAGTGCCAGCATCCTTAGCTATCAGGAAAACAGAGTTAAACCTACTCTGAGACTCTTCTCAAGAGAACAGATGACAACAAATCCTGGGAGGTTTGTAGAGAAGGGAAACATTTATTCTCTGTTTATGAGAGAATACACTGGTACAGCTAGCATGTAAGTCAGCCCCGGAGTCATGAAAAACTAAAATGAGAATACAGTATGGTCAACTGAACCATCCCTAGGCATGTCCCCAAAGAGCTCTATATCCTACCACAGAGAGACTTGCACATGCATGCTTATTTCTCCTCTGTATCACAATAGCAAGGAGGTGAAATCAGCCTTGGTGTTCATCAACTAGTATATGGATAATGAAAATGCGGCCCATATATAGAATAGAATTCTATTCAGTAGTAAATAAAAATAAAAAATTGAAAGGAAGATGGATGGGACTAGAATATACTATATAAAGAGAGTTAACCCAGATTTAGAAAGATGAATGTCACAAGTTTGCTTTCATATGAAGATCCTATTTTCTAATTTTTATACATGTGTATTTGTGTGCGCCGCGGAGGGTGCAGAGGCAGTGAAGCTGGAAAAGATCCTACGGAAGAGAGGAAATGAAGCTTGAGGGATGGTAGCAGAACTCATGTGAGATGACGCTGGGGTGAAATGGTGTAAGGGGGTGGGGCCGAAAGGTGAGTGAGAGGCCGAGAGCCAATCAAAACTAGGGATGTGTAAAAGGCTATAAAGAAGCTTATTTTCAAAGGGGACTGGAGAGATGGCTCGGTGGTTAAGAGCGCATACTTCTCCAGAGAACCTAAGTTTGGTTCCCAGCACTCATGTCAGGCAGCACATCTGTAACTCCAGTTCCAGGGCATCTGTAACTCCATCTGTAACTCCAGTTCCAGGGCATCTGACGCCCTCTTCTGGCCCCTGTGGGCACCTGCACTCATGGTCACATACACACACCTATACACAATTAAAAATTACATATATAATAATTTATATTTATGTATATATTTTATACACGTGTATAATAATTATACATATAATATTATATACACGTATTATATATATAAGTATATATATACTTATATATACATATATATGTGTGTATATATATATATATATATATATATATATATATATATATATATATATCTTGAACAGAGGTTAAATTATATGGACAGATACAGTTGACCCAAGAAGCCATGCATTATTAAATGCAAACCCCAGTGCTAGGGGTGGGTTACTTTCCCCTGGGCTGTTGGCCAAGGAGGCCCCCAAGATTGCCAAATCAATACATGCAATTGTAACTGCTACTGGTTACCCACCAAAAGTGGTTGGTAAGACCTGCTGCTAAAGGTACCACATTCTCTAGTCCCAGGACATAAAGGAATTAATCCGATCCAGACTGGAAATTTCCTCTCTGCTGGCTAGCCCACACAGCACCAGAAGATGTTATGCTAACTCCTGGGGAAGGATTGACCATCAATAGTCGTGTTCAATGTGGACCCTGAAAGCAACACCACCAACCAGCTGGGCAAGACGCACCCCTTGTACAACAGTGTCAAGTCTGTGCTGGGAGTAAACAATCACTTTCTGCTTAGGTTTGAGGCCTATTCCACAGGAGGGAATTCGCTTCTGACACTGTAAACCTGGTCAAAAGTCCACAGCTAGGGAGGCCACAGGCCCTAAGAGGGAGTCTACCACAGTTACTTTGCTAAATGGGCATGATCTGCCCATCCAATTGTCTTCTAAATAATCATGGCTATGTTCACTGGCGGCAGCGGCTGTCAGCGGCGGCCAGGGGAGCTTCTTTCTGCAGTGGTCAGTGGTGACCACAGAGATGCATACATAGTCACAGTGACAAGAATAAATAACTGCTGCCTGCTCGGCTATAAATGAGATTTCCATATCACCTCCTCCAAGGCTCAGAGGACGCTACAGAAGAGAGGAAAGAAAGAACATCAGGCCAGAGGATGGGGTGGAATATTGTAGAACCCTGCGTTCTGGGTATGACATGGCCATTGCTCTCTTGAGCTCATCTTGAGCCACTGTGATTATCTGAACAAGACTGGGGCCATCAATCTCCTGTCATGGAGTGGGACATAGCTCACAAAACTCGTATGCAATTAGTGGTTGGTAGGAGAGGGTGAGACATTTTCTTCAGTGTTGTGACTATTGGTAAGATGTCTGTATTTTATAAGAGACACTAGTGAAAAATCATTGGGTCATCAAGATAAATAAATAAATAAGGACAGAGGACTGGTTGGTGAGAGGAAGGGGATCCGCAGGTTGTGGGACACCCTGCCTGACATCAGGAATGAGATAGCGGGCCTTGGTAAGATCAGGTGGGGCTGTCAGCAGTGACATGGGGGCGGAACATTAGCATCTACAGAATGTGCCACCAGCCCATAGCTTGGGGAATGTAAGAGAAAGGGTCTGTGTTTTCCTTTAACTCATCTAATTCTCATTTCCTTATCCTCCCATAAAACAGAGTGGCTTCAAGTTGCTTTGCACCCCAAATGTCACAGAAAATGTACTTTCTTGGGAGAGTGGTACCAAATGTCTCCTAAGAAAGCGTATGATTTGGGGTGTTGTTAGACTTCTCATCTGAGGATACAATGCTGGAACTCCTCACGTCCTCACTCTCCCAACTGCCTTCAGGCTCGAAACAGAGGCTGCCCACGCTTCTCCTTCCATCCAAGCCTGTCCTGGGCTGTGTATCACACTTTCACTCCAAAAGGAGAAACATCCAGGAAAAAGGTGACGCTCTCCGAGCTTCAGTGGAACCACCGCATGCTTCCTCCTGTGTTACTGAAGTGACTCAGTGAGGCCCTGTCTGCTCAGTGTCTGCCACTGTGAGCATTTAAACAGAACTGCCTGTGGTATTGTTAATGTCTGTTATTCCTATGAAGCTTGGGAAATACTCCCGATCCTAAAGTGACTCTATCTGGTGTCTTGACTGGAGGCAACTAATTAGCTTCTACTCACTCACATGTGGGAACAAGGTCAGTGGACCCAGGTGGACCCAAAGACCAACTCTGCTCCTTCCAGCCTTCACTGAAAGAGAATGCCAGAGGGAGTTCAGTGCCAACAACATGGGAGTTATCATTAAAGATAAAGGCATTTCCTGCCTTTCCCCATCAAAATGTAAAGGAGTCCCAGTGGCCATGCTGGGGTGGGTTAGTCCTAGCTTCCCAAGGTCGATGCTGGGATCCATTTTTTTTGTTTGTTTGTTTTTGTTTTTGTTTTTCGAGACAGGGTTTCTCTGTGTAGCTTTGCGCCTTTCCTGGAACTCACTTGGTAGCCCAGGCTGGCCTCGAACTCACAGAGATCCGCCTGGCTCTGCCTCCCGAGTGCTGGGATTAAAGGCGTGCGCCACCACCAGCAGTCTTATTACTTCTAATAACCAGCCCTTGGCACATTTTGCACCCTGAGGACTGCCCCAGAGCTGGCTTTTCACCAACTCCTAAAGTCACCTCCGAGGTGAGAAGCCCCTTTTTCGATAGAGGTCTTTGAAGTTTAGTTGACATTAGCACACTTTTTAAACTTCTTTATATGTATGTCTACTGTATAACCACCATCAGCTCAAGCAACTGGATTAGCCTTCTCGGAGATTCACACATATCCCTTCTGATAACCACCACTGTCTTGCACTCTGACAGCACAGAGAAATTTGTAGAGATGGGGTAGCAGGAATGGGGTGTTGCCCAGTGGTAGAGTGCTTACATGAACAAGGTGCAGGTCCCATCCCCAGCACCAGTATCAGAAAGAAGGAAGTGGAGCAGGGAAAGAGGGAGGGGGGGAAGGGAGGAGGGGAGAGGAGAGAGAGAACATAATATAGTAATATCGGTGTTGGCATCTTTTTGTTTTGTTTTGGTTTGTTTTTCGAGACAAGGTTTCTCTGTGTAGCTTTGGTGCCTGTCCTGGATCTCACTCTGTAGACCAGGCTGGCCTCAAACTCATGGAGGTTCACCTGGCTCTGCTTCTTGAGTGCTGGGATTAAAGGCGTGAGCCACCACGCATGGCTTGTGTTGGCATCTTTTACCCACCAGTGTAGGCTTCTCCTTCCTGCCAAGTGGTATAAGGGTCTATGGTCTCTGCAACCCCAAATCAAACAGCACAAGATGTATACCAAAACGGCATAGCTAAGTCATTTGTGTTTCTTTTTCTTTTCTTTTCTTTTCTTTCTTTTGTGTCCTGGAAATTGCTTGTTTTTCATTCTCAAACAGTCATCTGGAACCAATTACCTCTAGCCAGCTTTTCAGTGACCTTTAAAGGGGACTTAAGGGATCCAGGAGTTCCTACCTGCTGGGACATTTCAGCTGCTCTTCAGAGCTTCCTTTGAAGAAGGTGAAAAAAAAATCAATGTCCATTCTAAGACAGTGGCAGAAAACCATCACAGGATGAAGCTTTAACTCTGGAATGGCCAACACTAATTGAGCAGCAACCTGGCCCTTTGAGGAAGAAACTCTTGGAAGATCTGACTGGCTTGCTAGGCATCACCCAGGCAGCTGGGACGTCCGCAGAACAGTGGACAGATCAGTGTATATGTTCTAGCTGTGGGCTAAATGCCAGGATCCCTGAAGAAACTAGGGTGACCTTGCACAGAAAGGTAGAGAGAGGGTTCTACATCCAAAAGCAGGGCTTTAACAAGCATTCTGTGCATCAATGGTTGGGGAGAAAGGTCTCACTGCTAGTGCCCCCGGATCAGTAAGAAAGGAAACAAGGCAGGAAGAGGGTCAAGGCTCAGCTCATACAGAATGTCCAGTGCAATTCTAGCATTTGCACTCTCAGGGATGACGACCACCACATGTGGGACTTGACTGCGAAGGTGATGTCATTATCCACAGAAGCAAACAACAAAGCCACGGACACATGTGCCCACGCCGCAACTGAAGCCAACTGTCTCTGGAAGGGTCCTCTCCCACCACGGGGTTATTTAAGTCAAAGACAGCAACCCCAGCTAGTAGGAAGCAAGAGGCACCTCTTTTTGGAGCATGGATCATGAGAGTTTGGGGACAAGAATAGGGGGGGGGGGGTGCCTAGAGGAGATCCTGGGCTTCTCACAAAACTGACTCCTGGAGACAGAATATGGATTTATACACTGAATTTGGGGCACTGTTCACGCTGCATGCATTTGAATGTTTACAGTGGCAAGCAGAATAGGCCTGGAGTATTATCCCTTTTCCCAAAAATTCTAACCGTTCCCCTTCAGATTCCAAAAGACCAAGCTATTCCCAACTCCATCACTTTAAGCTCAAAACAGATGTGCTACTCGTTATATAAGGTAAATAACTAGGAGGCTGACCACTTTCGGCATTGGGTGGTTTTGTTTGCTGTGGGATGGTCTGTATGTCAAGTGTGTTGCTCTGACTGGTCAATAAATAAATCACTGATTGGCCAGTGGCCAGGCAGGAAGTATAGGCGGGACAAGGAGGAGAATAAAGCTGGGAAGTGGAAGGCTAAGTCAGAGAGACACTGCCAGCCGCCACGATGACAAGCAGCATGTGAAGATGCCGGTGAGCCACAAGCCACGTGGCAAGGTACAGATTTATAGAAATGGATTCATTTAAGCTGTAAGAAAAGTTAGCAAGAAGCCTGCCATGGCCATACAGTTTGTAACCAATATAAGTCTCTGTGTTTACTTGGTCGGGTTTGAGCAGCTGTGGGACTGGCAGGTGAGAGAGATTTGTCCTGACTGTGGGCCAGGCAGGAAAACTCTAGCTACATTTGTTTGTTTGTTTTCTCAAGTTTATGTGTGTGGTGTGCAGTGTGTATACATATCCACAGGTGTGCAGATACATGTGTTGTATGTGTACATGTGGAGGCCTGAGGTTGGTCTGGGGAGTCTTCCCCCATTGCTCCCCACCTCCCTCGCTGAGGTAGGGTCTCTCAGGGGAACCCAGAGCTTGACCATATGGATGTCCTGTCTGGCCAGCTTGCTGCGGGGATCAACTGTCTTCACATTTGGAGCACTGGAGATGTAGGCTGGCTGCCATAGCCGTCTGGCATTTCTGTGCGTTCTGGGGATCTGAACTCAGGTCCTCAAGCATGCAGTGTGAAGCCCAAACGCTCTAACCACTGGGCCATCTTCCCCGGCCTGACATCGGATGTTGCTAATGAAATACTTCTGCAATAACTTTACAAATTCTCAAGCTCTATGAGGAAGCATCCAATTTGATAGGAGCGATGGGAACGCTCAACTTGCCCCCCACCGCTCAGATCCCAGCTCAGACTCACTGAGCTAGGCCTGCATTTTACAAAGATCCCGAGTCAACTCTAATAAAGTTACAGAGGGTCTGGAGGAAAGGAGCAGCAGCTCTGGATGTACCACTCGCCCAGGCTTGGAGCCTGCATCCTGAGACACGTTCCTCCTGAAATACAAACGCTAGAGTTTTTACCTACACGAGGGAGAGACAACAGCTACTGTCCCTGGGGGCGCTTGTGTGGCTGACCTACACAAAAAGCTACATCAAGAGGGTGGAAGACAATCCCGGAGCCCGCTATGGCTCCTCTATGGGAGGGGACATGGCTGTGCGGGCTGCAGAGAGGCAGGTCAAAAGCCTCAACACCACAGCCAAGGCTTTCACGTCTTGGCTTTGACACACAGCCCCGCTTGCTCACTTGGACTGAAGTGGTGGGCCCACACGCGGCCATCCCCGGAGTCCTCTCGGATCTGCGCATGCTTTCTCTTCTTTGTCGGAGGCAACGAGGCTCTAAAGAAACCGAAAGGTTGGTTAGCACCTTGGCTCGTTGCACGAAAACAAACTGAATTTCCCAGATCTTTGCTCTCTGGTTTCCTTAGTCTAATCCCAATTCTTTCAGGGTTTTTGGGGTTTGTTTTTTTTGGGGGGGGCGCTACTGTTCTGAAATTGTGTCTTTCTATGTTCAACCGATCTAAGATCCGCCTGCCTGAAAGATAAACTGGCCATAGTTTCAAAGCGGAGAAGATCCAGACTGAGCATTCAGGTGAGGACATGTTACATCTGAGAATTCCCTTCTCGTGGGACTTTGACACAGTCACCAGTGGCCCTGGCTTTTCGGAGAAGGGAGGAAGAGAGGCCAGAAAAGAGGAGCAAAGAGAAGAAGACTTGATTGACCGTTATGGGAGAACTAACTCATTCTCAAACTGCCCTGAGTCCCTCGGCGGGAGGGAGGCAGCGTAAGAAAGCAGTACTTCGTCTCGCCACCTGGGGCTGTTCTAGCATTCCTGACATTTTGACTTTTTGTTGGACGAGGACCTTGAGTGGAGGGGATTTCTAATGAAAACTGTCTAAGCCAAGAGCATCAAGGGCCTCATCGTGGTCCTGTGTGCGTCTCCACACTGCCACCTGCTGGACAGGCTGCGGCGGTCCCTCCTGGGCACTCCAGCTGTGGATGCTGAGGAGGTGGGCTCATCATGAAGTATCTTATCCTTTACCCAGGAACGTGGTACAGAGGCTGCTGACGGTAAGGGCAACTCATGCCCAGATGGGAAGGCCCGGTTTGGTGGCGGGGGGTGGCGGGGGGTCTGGAGTCCAGGTAGCCGTTGTGAAAGCTGCTGTGGGTTTGGCTGGACACGCTCTGCGGTGGGTGCTCAGGCGGCACCCCCGGTGTGGTGGTGGTGGTGGTGGTGATGGAGTGCAGGAAGGTGGCGGGCATCCTGCCCGCTGCAGGCCTCGGGGTCCCGCAGCACGCGCCTGCGGGGAAGACAGGAGCGACAGGTGCCTCTCAGTCACACCACCCGGTCTGGAGTCAACCGTGCAAAGGTGCTATGTGGACGGACGACTCACCTTTGACCTGTGGGGGAGAGCGTGGGTCCGATGCAGAATAGGGCGGGGTGTCAGGGAGCTGCCGTTGCCTGGGGGTTAGAAATACTGCTTTTTTGTTTTTGCTCTGTTTCATCCTGTTTTAGTCTCCAACGGGAGGCAGCCCTCTGTGTACAGCATCACGGGGAGAAGAAAGAAAGCTGAGCTCCTCCAACTCCTCCAGTGTGAGTGGCTGGACTTTTGAGTCCCAGCTCTTCACCCCGCCAGGCCTCCGCCCCGCCCCCTACAAAATGTCAATCACGACCACACACTCTTCACAGTTTTGGGAGAATTGGGGAAGCGTCCACCAAGCCTGTACTGTAATGCTCCGAAATTTAGTGTTCAAAAGAGCGCAAAATGCTGTCACGGAAGCGAGCAGAGGTCTTCCGTCCATTAAGTGTGGGGCATCCCAAGCTCTTGGAAGGAACTCAAGGGTTCCACAAAAGGAATATGTAAAGAGAAAAAAAGATTCCGGTAAAATGCAAAGACGAGAAGAGTTTGTTTTCATCATTCACTGTTTGGGGGTGTCGGGGAGGGAGAATGGAGAAGCAGCGGGGTTGGGATACAATGACACGTATATGTGAAAAATGACATGATTGATGGCCGTTACTTTGTAAGCAAATTTTAAAAAGTAATTTTTAAATATAGAAGTTTTTTAAAAAAAAACTTTTTACCCTCAGATTGGTTCTTTTAAAATTTATTCTCCCCCTATTAATAAGGAAGAGTGAATATTTATCTTTATCAAGGTAAAGGAATCCACAGGCATAAAAACCAAAAGGTTTAGAGTACCTGGACTTAGCCCACCACAGACTGCATTTCAGTAACACGGTGGCGGATGAGATTGGATGGCGGGACTGAATTAACAGAGACTGTCTGGGTATGGAAGAGGGGGCATCAGGGCACAACAAGGAAAAATCCCGTCAAACAAAGCTCAAAACACAGCTCGGGACACTATCGTCACCTGAAGCTTCAAACCCAGAAGTGTGGAGCTGGACATAGAATTGGTTGGAGGAATAAGGAACGACTGGACCCTGAGGTCAGTCCCCACTCCCCACTCCACAGTTGGAGGAGGAGGTTCTCTGAGGAAATGGAGCCAGGGAGACTGTGGTACAGGGTGACCAGACACACTCAAGACGGCAGGGATGAACATGAAAGGGTTCACTACAAACTAAATATTGAGGCTGCGGACACATCTCAGTGTGGAGAGCTCGCTTAGCATGTGGTGGGCACTGGGTTCTATCCCCAGCCCTCCAAAGGAAAGGAAATGTGAACGCTAAACTATAAGACCCTTTCCCGGTCCTGCTTTTCACACATCTCAGCAGGTTTAAAACAAGTAAGGACCTGGAATATTACTGAAGGAACACTGAATGTGCTTGTGGATAAGGAGGGGGCACAATCTTATAATAATTTGTGATGCAAAAAAATTTTATGTGTATGTGTATATGAGTGCATGTATGTGTGCGTGTGTGTGTATGTATGTATGAATGTGTTTGTATGTATGTATGAGTGTGTGTGTATATCTATGCATGAGCATGCGTGTGTGTGTGTGTGTGTGTGTGTGTGTGTGTGTGTGTGTGTGTGTGTGTGTGTAGGCCAGAAGAAGATGTCAGATTCCTGGGAGCTAGAGTTACAGGTAGCTGTGAACTACCTGATGTACATGCTAGGACAGGAACTCGCGCCCTCAGATGGCCACTGATCCATCTCTCTCCTATGCCCTCCCCTATTTTAGTCATTTTAATTGGAAATCAATGGCCATCCCTAGCTGATCACAATGCAGTGAAGCCCACCTTTGAACATGACGGCTTGCATGCAGGACTCGTACAGAATAATGAAACAGCGCATACGGCCAGAAAGCCTGTGACATTAAAACCAGAGCAGCCACCAGATCAGAACTGCAGGACAGTCACCAACAGCTTTCCACCAGATCAGGACTGCGGCAGAGTCGCCAACAGCTTTCCCACCTCTGAGCGGTAAACTCCTGTCTGACCCGGTCCTCCAGCTGGTGGGAGCGTAAAGCTCTGGGAGGGCATAACTACCTAGGGATGCTGGGAAGTGGACAAGAGCACGGGATTCTGGAGAGCCAGAGACTTAGAGGATGGTAATGGCTGGCACTGACTGTCTATTTACAGCTCTTAACTGACCAAAGTTGAACCACAGAGCAACTAAAACCCCAATACAAATTCAGTCTTTCGGGCCTGAAGAACCAGAAAAGAGACTGTGGAACAAACACACATGTTAAAAATTTAATGGGGACTCTTGGGAAAGAGAGAAGAAACCCCAGAGTCAGTGCATAACTGGGCCACATCTCCTGCTGGTCACTATGCTGTTGCGTGGTGTGGTGGGGAACTGAAATGTGAACCAGTCCTCAAGGGAGTACCTACTACAGCTGGTGTCTGAGCAGAATAAACGCCGGTCAAAACAAAAGTTATTCACTGTTCAGAGAAGTGGATGGGACGGGCGGCGGTGGCGCACACCTTTAATCCCAGCACTCGGGAGGCAGGGGCAGGCGGATCTCTGTGAGTTCGAGGCCAGCCTGGGCTACAGAATGAGCTCCAGGACAGGCACCAAAACTATACAGGGAAACCCTGTCGAGAGAGAGAGAGAGAGAGAGAGAGAGAGAGAGAGAGAGAGAGAGAGAGAGAGAGAAGTGGACGAGCCCCTGCATCCAGCGACTGCAATGTGAGTTGGTGGTTTTCAACTGATTTTAAGTTTTCTGTGTCTTCCTCAGTTTGCCGCCCTCCAAATTCAGCATGGCCACGCCTTTACCTTACTCCATAGCAAGTCAGCCCAGGCTCAGTGCATTGCACCTGTTTAGAGAAATGTTATGGTTCTTTTCAGGGAATTTACACGAAGAATTCATGAGCACTATGTTCAAAACTAGACAAATGGTCAAAGAACAAAGGCGTTGATGATGCACATGTTTGTTTGGAGTTAATCTGGGCTGTAAGTCTCTCCCTCCTCATGATCACGGGGTCAAGGACCCCGGCTGCACACAGTAGGCTCTTTGGGGCCTTTGTGCTCTGATTTTGTCTCTTATGTCAAAGGGATTTCCAGAAACCAGAGAGTGATGGACACATGGGTCTCTCTCTGAGTGGTTAATATGGTCTCTGGCTTCTGGAGCAGGTGACTGTGGAAACAAACATCAAGAGATTCTTAGCAGCTGGCAAAAAAAAAAAAAAAAATGTACCAATTTGCCTTATAATCTCTTTCCTTTTGGACACACACTCTGCCTTTGTCTTTTGGAGGATTAATGGACAGATGCAATCTTCTGGAGGTTGGGGGCTACACAAAGCATGAGGAGACCAGAGAGACTTTACCTTCCAGTAGCTGAGATCATATGTTCGTGTGCTGTCCGTGTGCTGCCCCCAAAGCAGCCACTATTGCTCTCAGATGGCAAGTCTGATGGAGTCCTAGACTTACTGACTGCACACCAAGCTAATGACTCCGTGAGAAACCATGCAGGACCCACACGCATCACAACATGATCTTCACGTGACTATCCTGGTAAGACTATAAACAAGTCAGTACCCAGTTCCCGGTTTTCCGCACTGACTCCCCTGCCTATGCCTCCACACACATCAGCTGTACATCTCTAAGGCCCCACAGTGAGCATAGCTCAGCCCAGCACCTGCTCCAGATCTGGAACTCCATAAATATGAAAGATTTAAAAAAAAAAAAAACATGAATATGCTGTGTATGTAAATTCATGTATCAAGAGAGGGCTGTTATCACTACCAGTCTGAAATAGTAACCTTCCCCCACCCCTCACTTCCTGCTTCTCTTACTTCCTCTAACGTGCCTTCATCTCACTAAAGGACTCCAGACACCTGCCATTGTCTCTCTGTTCCCACTGGAGAGGCCTGACAGTCACTTATGGCGTGCCAAGAGTGAGGAAAAGGAAACGGCTTACCCCCAGGGCCAGCAACAAGGAAATGCACTGTCTGCAGAGAATTTCAAATCCACACTGAAGCCTATAAGGAGTCGATCTGCTTTTTATGACTTTCCAAACGCATCACCAGTCCTGGAGGGGGACAAAACTGGGTGCCCTGCCAGGACAAACTGCTCTTTGCCCTGGGTAACCTCTCAATGAAGAATCCATCGGCTTCATTCATGGTCGTATCTCATGCCCCAACCATAAAGGAGCTGTTACAGATGATGTTTCCTGTAATCTTAACGTGCACGATTTATCTCCCCCATGAGGACCTCCATGTTAAAGATGTATCTCAACAGTATGTGTGCACTGCTCCAGAGTACCCCCCTGAGGTAAATACTTGCCCAAGTGCAATTAGAGCTTGTAACTACTCCCCCAGAATTAAGATTTTTAAACAATGGCTCTGAAGACATATCAGTGGCTAAGATATCCCAAGAAAGCCATCTCATGACAGGACAGCAAGAAACACAAGAAGAAGGATGCCACAATTCCCCTCTAGCCCGTTTGCAAGCTGCAAGGCTCTAGCTCGCTTGCCCTCCCCAACCCCCCACCCCATCTTCTGCTGCTCTAGACAGAGGCCCTGGTTGGAGACTCTTGTCTGGGGCTGGCACAGGGCTAAATCTTGCATCCATTGTCTCATCCAGTGCCTACAGTCCCAGATGCAGAAGTGCCACTGTCCAGAAAGAAACCAAGATTGATGGCGATGTACAGTGCCCCTGAGGTTAACATCTGGCGAGTAGTCCAAGTGGAGAGCGGTACCACCATTACTTACAAGGCTCCTAAATCGAAGTCATTGCCCAAGAATTCTTCAAGCAGACTCGTATCCAGGGCTGGGTTCTCCAGAGTACCACTGGCTCCCTGAGCTGCAAAGGAAAATTGAAAATCTTAAAAACCATGACCATTTCAGGATGACTGCTAAAACCTTGACAGGCAGATACCCAAACTTACAAGGCAAAAAACACAATGTATTTGTTGGGAATGTAGTCTTTTTTCTATTTAAGTACTTCCTTTGGAAATCTCTTCAGATCACTCTTTCCAGCAAGACTTCCTGGCTGTCTGAGGCTGGGGTATAGTGCTCTCTTTTATAAGCCCCTGTAACACTGACTGCTTGCTTTCTGCACGGTTGGAAAACCTTTCTCCCTCTCCTCCCCCTCTCCTTCTTTCCCTCCCCATCCCCCTCTCTCCTTTAAAGAGAGGGACTGTATCTTTCTTATTTTATCCACATGGATCCAAGGCAGAAAAGAAGCAAGGAACAATCATTTGTTGGATAGATAAGTAAATAATGGATGGATGGATGCATGGATGGATGGATGGGGGGGGTGGATGGATGGATGGATGGATGGGGGGGTGGAGGTGGATGGGTGGATGGGTGGGTGGGTGGATGGATGGATGGGTAGATGGGTGGGTGGGTGGATGCATAGATGGATGGATGGATGGATGGATGGATGGATGGATACATACATGGCTCGCTTGCTGATTGGTTTGATCAGCCTAAGTTCAATGTATTCTTTATATTTTTGTTAGACTTCCTAAAATATAATGTTTCTGTCCTTCTTCTTGACTTACAAAATGAAAAAAATTGGTTTTCACTGATTGTACCAAATATTATTAGAATTTTAAAAGAACATAAAATAGAGTGTAAAAATAAGTATCCTAAGGAAGACAAAAACAATTTTGTGGATTGTTGAAATGGTTCAGCATGTAAAAAAAATTTTCTGTACAATCCCTGAAACTCTGGTTCGAGGAGGAAAGAGTTATCTTCTAGCCCCCATACACACATGCCCACCTTCATGTACATATATCACACACACACAGCAATAAGTAAAATAAACAATTTTGCCAACAGTTAAAATTATTTTATACTTAGCGAACTCAAGAGAAAAAAAATGATCAGAGCATCGAAAGAATGCTTGGCTAAAATAAAACATAAAACTAATTGTTCTTATATAGATAATGCCAATTAACATTCAGATGAATACAATGAGGAGATTTCATTGAAAATAGCAAAAAGCCTAAACCACCTAAACATACATTTAAGAACACTTTTTAATTAGTTTCTTATTTTAGCATACTAAATAATAGGTTTCATAATGTATTAATTATTATACCAGAATAATTTTTAATTAAAATCTCCATCCAAGGCCTTTAGATGAGATTTACATAAATGGAGAGACCTACATTGTTCTTCAGCTGAAAAACTCAGTATTACCAAGTTTTTAGTAGACATTATTTAGTGTCTGCCGATGCCAATATGCCTTTCCTGAGACTCCTCCTCTCAAAGAGGAGGCACATTTACAGTGCATGGCCTCCACAGACAGAATCAGGCAGAGTCTGATTGGCCAGTGATCAACTCAATTTATCAGCCAATAATTTGAATGAACAGCTTTGAGATCCAGTGTTTTAGATGAAGTCATACAGTAGTAAGGCAGAAGACTAAATAATAATCTAAATGTTTCTGCAGTTTGCCCAAATCCTGTTTAAATTTTTTTGAACCTTCTGAGTCCTGGCTATTCCACTTTGATTCCAATTGCATAGCAAACTGTTGGACACCCACAATAACCCCCTTTCAGTTTGATTTCAAAACCCTCACTTAAATCAAATGCTCTCCACATTAAAGTGTTTTTGAAATAATTATTGAAATGGGGCCATTTCTGGGTCAGGTAAAAACCTGGCACAAGGGAATCTCCCAGGAATCTACAAGGAGGACCCCAGCTAAGACTCCTAGCAATAGCGGATACACAGCCTGAACTGGCTGTCGACTGTGACCAGATTGGTGCCCAGTCCAATTGTCATCAGAGACGCTTCATCCAGCAACTGATGGAAACAGATGCAGACCCACAGCCAAACATTAGGTAGAGCTCAAGGAATCCAGCAGAAAAGGGGGAGGAAGGATTGTAGGAGGCAGAGGGGTCAAGGACACCACAAGAAAACTCACAGAACCAACTAGCCTGGGCTTGTAGGGATTCACAGAGACTGAACCAACAACCAGGGAGCCTACATAGTCAGGGACTGACCTAGACATTCTGCCTATATGTTACAGTTGTGTGTCCTGGACCTCTTATGGGACTCCTAACAGTGGGAACAGGGGCTGTCTCCAACTCTTTAACTGGTTTTTGGGATCCTATTCCTCATACTGGGTTGACTTGCCCAGCCTTAACACATGGGAAGGTGCTTAGTCTTATTGCAACTTGATATGTCATGTTTTGTTGATACTCATGGGAGACCTGCCCTTCCCTAAACAGAAACAGAGGAGGAGTGGATGGGGCAGGGGCGGGGGTGGGGGAATGAGGGGGGTAGGAACAGAGGGGGCCTGGGGGAGACACTGGGAGGAGAGGAGGGAGGGAAAACTGCAGCTGGGCTGCAAAATTAATTAATTAATTAATTAATAATAAATTTATTATTAAAAAAATATTTCTTCTTAGCTGGAAACCAGAAACAATAAAGAAATACATGAGTGAATTTTTCTTTACAAACGTGATGAAAATGATCATTTTTGTATAATGAACATACTCTGGGAATTTTTACAAGTCACCTTACATAGTTTTGAGGAGAAAAGAATCCTTAACATTTTTTAAAATAATTTAAAGCCTACGGAGAAGTAAGAGAGCAAAGGGATTCAGAAATATTCTTCACCCAGATTCATGAATATTAACATTATAATGCATTTGCCTTAGTTTCTCTCTCTCTCTCTCTCTCTCTCTCTCTCTCTCTCACACACACACACACACACACACACACACACACACACACACACACTCTCTCACTCTCCTTTCACATGTATATCTCATACACATACATATATAGACATTTATCTTCAAAAGCTAAAGCAAACAAAATTACGTCTTCCCATCAGACCTTTCTCAGCCCTTAAGCATGCAACCTTGTACTGAGTATTTCAGTGCACACTCCTAAGTATAAAAACATTATTTCCACAACTGCAATTCAATTATGAGAATCAGGAAGTTTAACGTTGATACAGGTTTTTAATATAGCTTACATTCCTATTCGAATTTTACCTATTATCCCTGTATGTTATTTATGGTAGCTTTTTTTTCTTGTCCAGCATCCAACCCATTTAACTGTCAGAACTTTTTAATATTTATTTTGTGAAAGGACTGGCTAGTTGCTGTTTTTTGAATTAACTAAGGGAAAAGAATATAAGCAATAAGAGTTGGGAGGTTGGACCATGAGATGATATGTCATAATGCTAATCACTGCATCATTCATATCTCAGAGCCCATCTTTCTATTTTTATGAGTCAGATTTCGTCACTATAATCAACTACTTGGGGCAAGCTAACTTTATAAAGAAAGGTGGTTTATTTGTTCCTAGATTTAAAATTTCAGTGGCTTGGCTCTGGTACCAGCTGGATTCTGTGATGGCTTCCTTGGGGGCAGAGTACCAAACAGTTATCTCATGCTATCAACTAGTATGAGAAGGAGCACACACATCCTTGTCTGTACGCCCAGTTTCTGCTCCTTTTCTTACCAAGTCCCGAGAGACCATTAGGGTCCCACCCTAATGACCTTATCTAAACTGTCACTTTCCAGGGGCCTCATCTCTAAGTACCATAGATGGATTAAATCTTCAGCTCTGTAATTCTATTAGCATATAAATTTGGAACAACAAACCATAGCACTACTTAAATCTGAGCCAGCTAGAAAAAAAAATTAATCCAATACATTAGTGACTTTTTAACCCCCATTTCTTGGCCTTGAAAAAAATTCTTTAAGACCGGTGTCTCTAACGGCATAGGAAAAAATGTTTTAAATTCTGCAGGCCCGTCTGGTTCCCATCAAGTTACTTTTGTTGTATTAAGCTCAAGTAAAATTAATATAGTATTGTAATATTTATTAGCCAAATATTGTGTTGCATACCTGTAAGGCCCAGAGCATAGGATGTAGAAGCAATGTGTGTTTGAGTCCAGTCTAGGCTACAGAATGGAATGTACCTTATGAAAAGATACTGATTTCATTAAAATTTTATTCTCCCTACTTATTTCTCCTTCTCTCTATAGGTATTCAGAGAGATAACAAACATGATTATACCACTATTAATATTGGCTTAATGATAGGATTTAAGATAATTTATCATTATTTAGAAACAACAATTTTATACTTTGGAGCAATTTGTTGTACAACTTTGCATAAAATGATATTTTTAAATCAATTTTAAAGCCAAGTTGCCAGCATCCTCAAAAATAAAGACAAAGTCTAAAATTACTCACAGCCTTAGAATAAATAGGAAAACTTCCACTCACTATTTCCAGGCCCATATAAAATGGCATGGGGATCAAGCACGGTGGGACACACCTTTAAGGATAGCACCCAGCGGGCAGAGGAGGGCAGACCTCTCTGAGTCTGAGGCCAGGCTGGACTACATAGTGAGACCTGTCTCAAAATAGTAAGTAAACAAACAAACAAATAAGTGAACAAACGGGCCGGAGAGATGGCTCTGTGGTTAAGAGTGCTTGCTGCTCTCGCAGAGGATGCAAGTTCAGTTCCCAGCGATCACATGGGTGGCTCACAGCTGCCTCTAACTATACCTTCAGAGGATGCAATGCCCTCTTCTGGCCTCGGTGGGCACCCACAAAAAGGGGGCACACACTCACACAAACACACAGGAATGAAGATGAATGCATTAAGAAAACAAATAAATAGATAGATAGATAAATAAATAAATAAAACGGCATCACAGACCATGCATTTAAAATGTGAAGGAGATAGCTGCTCCACCAAGGCCACAGCTCTGGAATATAGAGCATGACAATTAGGATGAGAATGTCCCCTGTGTGCTCAGATATTTGAATACTTGGTCCCCTGCTGGTGGTGCTGTTTGGGGAGGCCTAGGAAATGTGGCCGTATTGTAGGACGTGCATAGCTGA